TTTGGAGTCAGTAGAGCTACTAAGCTGTTTTTCACAGAGTGGGTTTAGAAAAACCTCATTCTGTTGTACCTCATGCACATGCGTGCATCCACGCAGATGACTCGATACACAGTCCTGCCAATGGTTTCTCACTATTCCATTGATCTACAGGTAGCTGTAATGTGCCAAGAAATGTAGCAATGGGCCAATATGAAGGAAAGAACACAGCTAGCTACTTAACAATGTTTATGTTTAGGAGGGAAGGAAGGTCTGTCTGTCTGTCTCTGTCCTGTCCATCTGTCAGTATGAATGGTCAAATTTAAACAGCAAGGCTGTGACTATATTACACTGTAAAAAAGGATTCTGTGGTCATGTAGATTTTAATTAATGTATTAGGTAAAATATATTCAATATGTTCAATATTGTGTTTTTGATTTTGAGGCAAATGTTTTATTAAATGTCGAATAAAAATGTTTGGAATAAAATCCACCCATTGTAGTTAAATAAAACATAAGCATCTATCTATATCTAATCCCAAATAGAGAGGATATTGAGTGAATTCAAATTAATGTAATCACACAAATTTTAATTGAAAAGCACTTCCTGTCAAGGATTCCCATGATGCATGGCAGTGAAGGGAGTTTTATTAAAATTAGCTAATAAGTCTCCTATTTTTTTGAAATGCAAAATTTACTTTGTGAATCATGTTTTTTTAAACATGTGTGTTTAGAATATAGTGTTTTCTGTTGGTAATGGTCATTCTTGTGGTGTTTTTTTTCTATACAGTCTATGGTTTGCTATTGAAACCAGGAGTGAAGTGAAATTTTATTTGATAAGTTCGGCTGCACTGATCATTGACCGATGTATTGAAAGCAATTCTCCTGTATGGTCGAGTCTACAAGTATATGACAACACATTTGTGGCCATGCGTGGGTCCCCTACCTAGCCGGTGGCCTGGGTCGGCTGCCCCCATGCACCCATGCTATCTTCTTTATGTGTAGATGATTAATACTCAATTATATATCATTGATATAGCGTGGTTTGCTTATGTAAACAAACCACACTCAGTGGACAGGGGAGATGGCTTCGCCCTGATCTATAGCGAGAGTATAAAAGTAACACCACTCTCTCTACCTGATCAGTCTTCCTGCTGGCTGTTTAGCTTGGTGGACCTGCAGCCACCATTGTAGCTGTTCTCTACAGACCACCAAAATGATCATATTTTTAATCACTGAACTCTTGATTTTAACCACCCTTAGCGCTTTATCTGCAGCCTAGCCTCTATTCTAACGTTGACATAGCTATCATTATTAGCTAGACTCCTCACATGCTTGTTAATAACTTTTTTTAAGATGGGTCTTCAACAATGACAGCGTTGTGTTGGACAGATTTGTGCAGTGGTTTTCATGATAGAGAGAGAGAGTGAGCGAGCATGAAGGAGGTACTGATCGATTGTATGTGCTGTGTCCAGCTCTGCAATCAAATACGATTTTAAATAGGCCACAAATAAATCAATGTATGGGAATGACTGACGATCATATATTCCAATAAAAATACTCAATATCTGAAACCTCATGTTATGCAAATATCTCTTTTCTCCACAGTGAAAAGATTACTCAAACCACCTGAAATCAATACAAAGAGTAAACTTTCAAATGAACAGCAATCTACTTTTTGGACTTTTTTCGACTCCACAATTACTGCAATTCACAAGCAGTTGACCTCTGCTAACATAACTTTCCATTAGCAAGTGCCATGAAATTGTCCACATCCACTGTCCTACGTGTTCAGTCTACCACCTGAAAACCACCAACTCCACATGTCAGCTGGATCCAATCCCCACAACCACAGTTAAAGCATGCTTGCTCTCTATCACTTCCTTGATAACCTCCATTACCAACTTCTCTCTGCCTGCTGGTACAGTTCCACCTTCACAGAAAGTTGCCATAATCAGACCAACTCTGAAAAAAACTGGTCTAGACTGTAATGACCAAAACAACTTCAACCTATTTCTATTTCTTTCCATTCATGTCCAAAATTCCTGAGAGGGTAGGCTAGCTGCATCTCAACTACCGATCTACTTCGACAACAATAACCTACAGTACCTCGATGATTGCATCAGCTCCGAATGGATTGTCTGACTGGCATTGGAGCTGAGGGCACAGTGTGTCAGTGGTTTGCCTCCTACCTTCATTTTCATGGTTATGCTGACGATTCACAGCTTTATGTATCCACTAAGCCCAGTTCAGCTCTCCCCTCCAGTACACTCACAGCCTGTCTCTAAGACATACAGATGACAAACAACTACCTAAAATTTAGCATTGTAAGACAGAGGTAATGCTCATCAGTTCTTAGTCCACACTCTCAAAAACTAATATCTGTTCACTCCGCATTGCTGAAGTCATCAGACCTGTCTCCACACAGGTTAAGAGCCTTGGTGTCATCCTGGACAGATCCCTTTCTTTCTCAAGTCATATAAATAATGTCTCCTACATTGCCTTTATCCATCTGCAAAACATCTCCAGACTACATCCTGCTTTAACCCTCCCTCCCGGCAGTCTTCCACAGCAGGTCTACTGGTACTTCCAGCCATCAACCTCTGCACAGCCAGGGCCTTCTCCTACGCTGCACCCAAACTTCAGAACGCTCTTCCCCCTCACATCCACATACTGGACTCTACTACAGAATTCAACGCTGCTCTTAAACCCATCTTTTCAAACTAGCTTACTCACTTTAATAGCATGCACTGCGTATCATTTTATACTGCAATATCAATAATATTTTTACCTGATGGTTGTTTTATTATTTATGCTATGTTTTCTTATTGCTGTGACGACGCCATTAAAAAATAAGTATCATTTTTGTTGTTGTTGCTTGGCTAGTGAGGTTCTTCAGGTCTGTTTACAGTAAAGTTTAGAGTTCATCAGCCCTAAAAGTGTTTAAGTTGAACTAGGGTGACTTTCTGACAGCTCATGGAACATGTTTACTGCCATGCATGTCTTATATATGCTAATTGTCGGGGAAAATGATTTTGACCACTTCCAGGAGCCTGACAGGATATTGCGTCAGTATGTGACTGATGGACAAGCTACATACATGTGAGATTGATGTTATGCTTTGAAGAGCCGTTTATATTAAGCAGTATATACATGTATTTGTACTTTTCCATCTTATAATCAGTGTATTACATGAGTACTGGACTTTTGGAAGCAGAACAGATGTTTCCGTTGACTAGGCAACGTTGATTTGAGGAGTGTTACATCTTATGATATTACATTTAATAAATGAGACTAATTTGTATCATCTGAATGTATATTTGTAAGTAAATGTTAACTCTGAACTCCAATACTATTAAACAGAAAAATATACAATGAACTACTTTGAAAGAGAAATGACAGAGGAACATAATGTGGTTAGTTCTGAGAGGAAGAGCTGATATTTCACTGCCCCCTGCTGGGCGAGAGTTCAACTCCTCCAAAGTCAGTAGACATTTTGTGAAAGCACAGTGAAGGACAACAACTGTTCAGCAGAATACAATCTTTGAGCCATTGCAAATGTCAGAAGTGTGTGGCAAGGACAGAAGCATCAGGCTTTGCTGGAGCCGGAGCCAGAGCCAGAGTAATTAGAGCTGACATTTCACTCTAAAGCGGTCATTAGTCACTTCCAAACAAGCCTGATGTGATAACTGTAATATCTCTAAATTGCAGCAATTAGAAAAGGTTCGCCAGAGGGGCCTGAAAATTTTCTTTGCCGCTCAAAATGTCACCAATGGGACAATCTCATCACTGCAATTAAAATGAAAATAAGCTTGTATTAATGTGACAATAAGACAAGGTATCCAATATGCGGCATTTACAGAGGAAGTATTCCTGTTCTCACTCAAGATTCAGCAGCTCTATTGTTGGAAACTGGTAGAGCTCAGCAACAGGTATTACCAACACATATTTGACTGTTACAGCCCTTTGGATAGAGGAGTAAAATTAAAATGCTTTTGGCATCATTCTAGAGAAATCTGACAGAAATACACAAAGTCAATGGTCATGATTGCATTCATTCTTGATATGATATTGCTGCAAACCGCTTTTGCAACACTGATTAACCTAAAAATGAATGTCAATTTAGCACATTGAATTTAATTAAAATAAGTAATGACACATAGCCAGTCTAATTCATCAGGTGTATTGATACTGATCAAACAAATATTCAATCTGGTTTCTTATTTGGTGGAACATGGTGAAGCTGCTTTGTTGTATTTTCAGTTTGGGTTAGGTCTGTTGTACACTGTGCACCACAATACATTATGGCATAACAACCTAAGACACAAGGATTTGGCCTCAGCGCCATCGATATTATTTGGAACACATAGAAACACCACTACCATCCAAACATCTGGACTTTTGTGAGAAAGTCATTTTTAACTATTTAGTATTGTAACTTTGCACACTTCCCATAGTAGATCTAATGTACACTTTTATATAGATTCAGAAAAAATAACAATTCTAAAAGTAGATTCCTGTACCAGAGGAATGAGAAGGAAAACAAGGAGGAAAGAAGAGTGAAGTCTGTTGTTAAAGGAAGGAGAACCCACCCGTTTGATAGAGCTGCGAGTCTTCTCCTTCCACTCGTGGCTGCTCAGCTCCAGTGTGCAGTGGACGTAGGTTTCTCTGTCATAGGAGCCCAGGATGAACAGTCTGCAGCGATACCAAACAAGACATGTGAGAACTACAGCATCGTGAGATTCTACCACTAAGACAAGCACCAGTAATGTCAAATGTGTGTTCATTGCATTGTGTTTCTTTAAAGAGGTACTGCACACTTTAACGTGTTTTTTGACTAATGTAACATTTACATACATTTATTCATTTAGCTGACGCTTTTATCCAAAGAGGTTGCACACCTCTGGAGCAACTAGGGGTTAAGTGTCTTGCTCAGGGACACATTGGTGAATTCCCCAATGTAATTGTACTGTATAACTGATGAAACACATCGATGCTGGTGTTAATTTTGCCATTTCTTACCAAACTTATAAAAATCTGCATTTCATGGGTTAAAAATGGCTCAACACACCATCTACTGTTTTAAATCATCCTGAACCTGGGCCAATGATAACAGAGTCAAACATTACGGACTCATTTACATCATGTGTACACACCCTCTCATCAGGATTGGGCGGCCCACCTCCCCCAGCCTTCAGTTGGAGTCTGTGAAACTGCGCTTTTCAAATATATGCTGTTGGAGACTCACTGCTCACAGGACTTACGAACCTTTTGCTAAAACTTAATAAAAAGTAATTTCACAAGAGACTTTCTCGAGAGATTTTCACATGTGCACCAATCTGGATTTAGCAACATTTGAACCAAAGACTGATGACAATTTCTTCTTCTTTAATTTTGATTGTTACTAATGATTTGACATGTTTTCAGGTGCTTTAATGCCCTTTTATGTCTGACTCTGAATAACCTTGTTGTTAAAAGATGCAGTACAAATTAACTTGCCTTAACCAAGAATTTGGTCATTGTTTCCCAAAGAAATCTATAAAAACAAATAGTCTAAACTTCTGTCACCTGTAAGCACTGCTGTGTTGAGTCTGGTTTGCTCTAACCACAGAGACATGCAGTCGTACATCTTGCAGTAGTGTCTTGTTCCATCATATTTCACTCTCAAGGCAACAACCTGAGGTTATAAAGGCTTTATTGATCTTCCTCCACTTAACATTATGTGAGAGGACTAATGTGATCGTGTAAATTCTTTGCATCGACGCTTCGTTTAACCCATATAACTACTGTTTCGCATGGACATTTATTACTGTCGCACATCGCGCTTACGCTGTGAACACGATTATTATGGAGCTGTTTGCAAAGTGGAGGAAGAGAGAGAATAGCTAGGGACAAAGAAGAAAGTGTCCAAAGTATGGGAACTCTGTAGTGTGACCAGTATGAGCATCTACAGAGACATGATGCTGGCCATCAAGAAGACTCCGTTTCCTCTGCCTACATGGGTAGATGCTTCCCTCTGCTGGGCACTTACAGCATACAAAACCTCACAGTAATATATAGTATATTTGTGATAGAGATTACTATAGACATAGTAATCTCTATTACATATGCAGAAAACTGTAATATTATCTAATAACAGTCAAATTTAGGCCAGGAGGTCTCCAAACATATGAGTTGACGCCTATATAGAAGGTGATGTAGAATGGTAGGGGAAGAAGAGACACAGTGTGTAATGGGCAGGACATGAATTATGGATGAGGGTGATCTGATCATCCTGTGTTCTATCACACACATCCAACCATGGATCAGCGCGCGCACACACACACACACACACACACACACACGTCTGTCTCTCCAAGGCAACAAAGAATAGGTCTTTCTGTCAGGGCGGGCCTGGGCTAATTGATTTCACTCTTTGGCCAATTAAAATTTAAACATGCCAGCTTTGTACAGAGAGGGAATTTTTTGTCTCAGAAAGGACAAGTGAGAGAGAGTGTGGTCTGTCCAATATAATGGGCTTCGCAGATGCTACAGGGTTTGAAGACGCTGTGTAACGGCTGCTGCCACTGTCGCAGGTGTGATGAGGAAACAGTTATAATTCAGATTGCATAAAAACCAATTGATCAGTGTTTCCCTTATATAGAATTTATACAGGTGGTCGATTCAACTAGATTTTGTTTGTATTTACAACATTCCTCTATGAAAAGTCATTTCAAAATGCTGATTGTTCAAAAAGTCTTGGCATATTGCCAATGTTGGTACACCTTGTCTGTTTGCTTTTGGTGAGTACAGAGAGGCGTAACATGTGAGTGCGTCGAACAAGAACTGTCAGGACTACCGTAAAACTGTGAATAATAGCCCGGGCTTTTATTTGCTATAATCACTGAATTGACCCTGCCTATATTTGGGACAGGCCTTTAATTCCTTTTGCAAAAAACTGAACCAACTATGAAAACAGTTTATTTCAAACAGTATAAATATTACTTGCATAAAAACGATCAAATAATATCAAATACGCGTCATTCATTTGATCCCGCTCCGACAGACGGCTTATGCACTTTTATTTTGTAGGCAGCAACGTAACGAAAACAAACATACCCAACAACAGGGTGCAGGATGAGAGAAGTGTGGCAGAAGTTAGCAGACAGAGAGCGACGGACTTCACATGACAGGAATTATGACTTGGATTCATTTTTCATGAAAAGCTGCTTTGATTCTTTTGACCGGTGGACCCTTACAGACTAAAGGAAAATACATCATCAAGGAACGGACACATTCGGACTTAACGAGCGCTTCAGAGGTAACAGGAGTCGGCCCTTTATTTTCTCATCTCTTACACCATGCCAGTTACACCGGTAAATCTACATTAATTAGACTTTGGCTCGTTTGCGTTAAATGAACTGAACGATTGAATTGTGGAGAATCTAACCGATCTAACGATGTGCAGCATGTCCACACTGACATATTGATCATCCCTTTAAACATTAATGTTTCTATTAACGATCTAAGCAGCTTAGAAGCAGCTAAAGCGGGCGACCCGGCGGGGTTTAAGAGGTTTTATACATCCAAAGAACTTCTCTAAAAACTAGACCAGTCGGTCTGGTGGTGAACGTGCGGCGTGGGTCACGGTGTAGCCGTGGGTGGGGTCTGTGGTCTCTCTGGCTGCGGGGGGGATGGGGGCGGTTTGCGCCGGCTGGCATCTCTCCTGCGCAGCGCATTACTTGGCTGTTGTGTGCCGCTAGTTAGATTGGTAGCGGGGTAGTGTTGATTGGCTCATCTGTAGGTCATTATTGGCTTGCGTGCTTGTCGGGGGTTGGGGGCATCGGGTGCGGGCCGGGACTGGGCTGGTGTGCGGCTCTGTCCTGTGTACATGCTGTGCATCCTGATAATTGCATTTCGGTTCTCTGAGGGGTCTGGCGACTGGTTGTTGGAGGGGTGGGGGACCGGGAAGAAGGGGTTGACGGGGTGGGTTGGGGGTGCGGGCTGGTCCTTTTTGAGCTGGTTGGGGGGTGTCTCCTCTGGATTTTAGTGCCCGGACTGGATGCTTGGTGGTTGTGCCGGGATCCTGTGTATGGAGGGATTGTGCTTTGGGGTGTGTCGATGGTTGCTTGCAGTCGCGTCGCGGCCCTCTGGAGTGTGGTCGTGTTGAGTCCTAGGGCTATTGCATCTGCTGACCCCTAGGGCCGAGGGGCTGTTGCTGCTGTCGCGGGTGATTGCTGTCTCTTTTCTTTGGGGACGGTGGGGGTTTGTGTGTGGGATGCTTCGCTGCTAGGGAGGGAAGGGAGCGGGGGTGGGGGTCTTCTGGCCTGACCTGGCCTGAGTGGCATTGCCTCCTGGGTGTGGGCCGACCTTCGGATCTGGGCTGTTGGGCCGTTCTGTCCTTGGGTGGGGTCCTTGCTGCCCCGGACCTGCTCCCTTGGGGGCTGGTGGTGCTCGGAGTACTGCTGATTGTGGGGGAGCGGTGAGGTGAGGGGTTAGCAGTGGGGCTGCCGGAGGGGCCCCGGCGAGGACGGGGGATTGTTGGACTTTGGGTTGGGGCTGCACTGACCTGCCTCTGGAGTGTGTGGGGGTCTGGGGCACGGGGCTTTGGAGCCTCTGGGTCTGGGGCGGGTCTGCGCGCTGGGGGGGCTGGGCCCCCCTGGGCCCGTCCTGGGGATGGGCGGGGTTGTCACTGACTCTGGGGTGCTACCGGTGCTAGAGGGGCTCTTGCTATAAGCCCTGGGCTGGAGGGACCTGGCGTCCTCCTGCTTAGGGGGGTGGGGGACGGGACTGAATAAATGATGGGGCCAGTCAGGAATCTGGTCTTCTAGCCTCCCTATGACCTCCTTCACCTTTCCCCCTTTGGTCATGTCTCACAACATACACCCTTAGGATCCTGGGGGACGGGCAGCCTGCAGGGCGTTTGGGGGGTGGGGCTGCTTTATTGCGGCCTCGCACTTCTTCCTCCCTCACTGCCTGCCCCTCAATTTTAATTACACATTAGACACAGAGGGCTTGGGGGGTGGGAGGGGCACGATGGGAGGCTCCACTACCTGACAGTTGTGGGGTGCCTGTGTCACAACTACCCTCCAATTTTAGTTGCACCTTAGTTACCACACACCTTATCTTCACTCCACCATACAACACTTCACAATCCATGACATGCATCCAACACAAAACAATACATTTACAGAGGCAGGCAGAGGGGTTGAAGGAGTGGGAGAGATTCTCATTGGCCTCGTGTCCTACCCCTGGAGCCCCGGGCGTTGGGGGTGCTGTGGGGTTGGTGGCGGCCTTGCCTGATCTGGGGTGGGCTGGGGGGGGTCGGGGCTCCCCTGGCGTGGGGGCCCGCCCTTGGCCTAGGGTTCTGCGGACTCGGGCTTGTGGCCTTTGCTCATTTCTGGGCGGGTGGTGTGTCCCTGGGCCTGGGGGCCCGTTGTCTCCTCTCCTCGCCTGGGCCCTCTTCGGCAGAGGTGAGGCTCCCGCTGCTTCCCCCTGCCAGCTCTCTCACGGTGGGGGCATTCGGGAGTCTCTGGGGCGCATGACCGGTGCTGTCGGGGTAGGTTTTGGTGCTCCTCCTTGGGGGTGCTTGACTGGGGGGCTGGGCCCCTGTCCGGGGATGAGATCGGGGGCTGCTGTCACTGGCTGCACTGTAGGGAGGGATGCCTCTGGCTGGGCTGGGGGACCGTTGGCCTGGTTCTCCCGCGTTATCGCTCCCTGGCGGTAGCGAGCTTCCCGGCACGGCTTTCTGCTGTTCTTCCTTGGGGCGGGGTACAGCTTCCCCCTGGACATGCGGTCTGGGGTCCTTTGCGCTTTGGGGGTCGCAGGGTGTCCTGGCTTCTGGGGGTGGGGGTCTGCAGTGGGATTGTGGGGCGATTATCGATGCATCTTGATGTATTATACTTTTTCCCTGGGCAGGGTCTCTGGATGGCTGCTGGGCGTTTAGTTTGTGCGTTGGAGTCCGGGGGAGGCATCTCCTCATTGGCTTGGAGGGACCTGTTTGCGTTCCTGTTTTGCTTCGTTGGCCTCGGATCCGTGCTTGCCCATTTCTCTGTCGGCCAGTTGTTGGACCCCTCTGGATACTGAGGTATATAGTTAGTTTTCGGGATGTGCAGTGTGGGTGCGGGGCAGGGCTGTGCTCCGGTTTGTTCTGGGTTTGTGCCTGGAGTTCTCGGCCCTTGATGGATGGGTGGGTTGTTGGTGGCATGCAGCTGAGCTAGTTGATTTTGCCTCGTTGCTGGTTTGGCTGGTGGTGCATGGCGGCCGGGGGGGCGCTGGGCATGGGGGATGTCGGCTGGTGCCGGCGGCCTTAGTTTTTTCCGGCGGTTGGGGGGACGGTGGACTTTTATTGGCGGGTGCACGGTGACCTGTGCGGCGCGTTTGCTGCCGGGCTGGGACTTGCTGCTGGTGTCTCTCTCCGCTGGCTTTCGCTGTCGTGTTGTTCCGTTTGCTCTCTCTCATTTGCCCGACCTCGCACGCGGGATTCGCGGGGGCTGCTGGGCATGGGTGTCGCCGTGCTCGCGCAGTGTGCGCGTTGGGCTCGTCACTTGTGCATTGGTGTTGATGACTGCGTGGCATTTGGGCATTGTGGTTGTTTGCTGCGCGGCGGTGGGGTGCTGGATGGGGGAGGCCACTGGTCTATGTTGTGTCTGCGCCGCGGTCGGTCCGGGCGCTGCTCTTCCTCTTTTGCGTTCCGTCGGCATTACGTTGTCAACTGGCATTTGGGTCGGGGTCTTCTGCGTTTGCATCGCGGTGCATCTGGGAGTCTTTGTTTTTTTTTTGATTTGATTTATTCTTTTTCTTTCTTCCACCCCTATTGGCTACTGGGGTTCTTGCCTGCCTGTTACAGTCGTGGCGTCCCACTCTCTCTAACAACTACATTCTTTAACAGGCTTATGCGCACACACATGTACATACACACACATACAGACACATTCACCCACACAGACACAAACAAACTTAGGTTGTCCCTGGTAGAATTATTCCTGATGCCTTTCTTTCAGTTACTTATTTAAATTAATTATTATTCCAGCTCTCGTGGCTGTGTTGTGTTGCTTATTTAGTGTGTGTGACTGTTTCTTGTTTTCATTGTTCTCTTAGTTGTCTTAATATGTCATTAATATGTCAGCTGTTTATTGCTGCTGTTCGGCTGGTTTTCTTTTACTATTATTACTATTATTATTTTTATTGTTTTTTTTGTTTGTGTTTGTTTGTTGTTGTTTTTCTCCTCCCCAAGCCCCCCTCTCTGTTCTCTTGCAGGTTTCGTTGCTTTCTGCAATTGGTGTTTCCCACAGCTTTTCCCTGTTGTCCCCACCCTCCATCCCCCTTTCCCCCTTCTCTTGCAGGTGTTGTCCTTTCTCTGTGCTGTCTGTTTGTGCCCCCCCATCCCCGTGTCTGCCCCCCTGTCCGGCCCGGTGACAAATCAATACATAATTAAATAAATAATAAAACAGACAAAGGAGTATTTTAATACTCTCTTGTTAAAGTAAAATCTGTCTGGCACAATATGGTATCCAGGTCATTATACTCTATACCAGGCTGCTGGGCAGGACAGGTTTTAAAAAAAAAAAAAAAAAAACTAGACCAGGCGTTTAATGGAGACCTGCGTTTATTTGTCAAAATCTGTTCCCGGGCCAGTAAACAGGGTAGGCAACTTGGGATTTGCTATTAATTGAAGTTTCATGATAAATACAGGAAACATAGTCATTAAAATATTATATTGTCATTTTAAAACAGGAAAAGGGTCTAGGGAGCACATTATTGTCTGAATTATTACTGCATGATGCAACATTAAGTTTTCCCAAAATGCAACAACCAGCAACCAGGAGAAAGAGCCTCAGAACGAAAACACACAAAGGAATGTGGACAGGGGAACTACAGCAGAAATTCAACTGTCTTACCTGCTACATTCAGTGAGGGTGACTTTCAGTCGGCCTTCCACCAGCCTACTGTCCTGGACTGACAGGTCCAAATCACAAGCCGGACCCAGAGGGGGCTGTACTTGGAATGGGAAGAAGGGCTTGTATCTGGAGAGACACACAGTAAATATCCAAAGTCCATTTTAAATCAGGGTTTCCACTATGGCATTGATGTAAACTCCACTGAGCACCAGTAAATAATATAGTAAAAAAAACAACAACTAATGAAGCTGTTCCCACACAGATACCTTGTCATTACCCATGAATTCACACTTTGATATTACATTTAATACCAGCAGTCAAATGTTGATTTTCAGTGAACAAACTGTTAATCAGATTTGAAAAACCTGAAAGCTTTGAAAGCTATGAACTGACACACAGTGGGGAATGATCAGCTCTGGTTTGTGAAGAATGTAAGCAGCAGGCAGAGTCGGGGTGAATGCTGGCCACACTGCCTGCTTCTGTTGGGTGTGGTGCTTGGTGGAGAAGTGGCTCCCTAAGTGCAGCAGGCCTGAGTCTTAATAAGAACAGTCATTGTAATGTATAAACATGACGTCTGAGAGCACACACACCCGTCCTTTGCTATTTTGGGCTCCTGGTGCAACTGTTGCTGGCCTGAGGCTCCTGCTGTTCTAAATACTGGACTTTGTTCAGGCAAATCACCCACATGAATCTGATGTTACTGTCTGTTCATAAGGGTGCTCTGATGGGTACACACACACAGTCAAGGTTTTGTAAGGGTCAATTCCACAAACGGAGGAAAGATTCTCACTCATCAGAAAGAGAAACGTTTAGCATCTACACTGTTTGTGAAGAGAGTATCCTTCTCTCTTGACCAGACTCTGACAGATATAGTTATACTACATTCATAGTTCCAGTCGAGGTTCCTGTTTCTATTGTATCGTTTCTATTACTAAATGTGAAATATGACCAGTGAAGAGTTCAAATAAAATGAAATGCAGGTTAAAATACAATTTAAAATTAAGATCTGATTTGAAAAAGCTATTGGTTTCTCTTAGTGTGATGTGCAATGGAAAGATTTGTGTTTATATGTAGCTTGGGTTAAGTTGCAAGTAGCAGAATGCTGACCTGCTTGTAGATTTTCTGAGCTGCAAATCAAACCGAATCAGGACTGCAATGATGGGGCAGTATAAGCTCATCTAATGTCAGTGTATTACCACCTTGTCTATTCATTACTGTGTCATGCATGCAGTACACGTGTGCTAGAGTTAAGAAGGCTGAAAATAAAGACTGAAGTTAAAAATGAGTGACCAAACAGCACCAGGAGATAAAACAGACACCTGCAGCTTCGCAGTCTACATCGTTAGATTGAATTGCGAGACGTGGATCAACCTCACTGACATGGAGGTGGTCTGGCTTTGAAAAGATGATGTTGCTTGAAAGACGTCAATCTGCAAACTGTGTAGAATATCGGGTGCCGTTAAAGTCAGCTGTCCACGTCAGACCTGAACCAGCAAGGTACCAGCACGTAAACACACTCCGATTCAAACAATCAGAATCAAAGCCATTACAACAACCGCTACGACAGAAACTCAGGGCTACAGACGGATGAAATGGTTCACTCCACCTGCACTGTGTGTCAGTAACACTTGGCTGGTGATTTCAGTGTTTTTATGCTTCAGTTTTAAACTCACTACTCACTTTGCGATTAATTCTGCACTGTCTGGACACCCTGTAGATTTATTGTGAATCAGTGTCCAGTTATGGTCCTCTCCTCAAAGTGAGAACCACACAAAGACCTAAGAATGGACAAATCGTACAAAAGCCCTTCTAATGTTAAAAAGAGCATTTACAGTCCCCATTTGAATCAATCAGCTTAGTTGACAGTCCAGCTAGTAATGTTTCAAAAGGCTTTAGGCCTGATACAAAAGACAGAAAGTCGGAAACTCTGATCACAAAGCTCTTATTAGATTACCCTCCCTCTCTGACCTACTTAAAAAGGACCCACACACATATTGGCTAAAACCTGGAATGTTGTTACGCTATCCATTTTCAGGCCTGGCTGCCATCATGCATATATACTTTATTACTGCCTGCCTTTACATGCACATGAAGGTTAATGACATCCCATTCTTTATCCGTAGGGTTTAATATGAGTTTGCTTAGGCTTTGCATCTGTAACAGCTTCAACTCTTCTGGGAAGGCTGTCCACAAGATTTAGGAGTGAGTTCATGGGAATTTGTGACCATTCTCCTAGAAGCGCATTTGTGAGGTGAGGCACCGATGCTGGACGAGAAGGCCTGGCTCGCAGTCTCGCTCTAATTCAAGGTGTTCTATCAGGTTGGGGTCAGGACTCTGTGCAGGCCAGTTAAGTTCTCCACACCAAACTTGCTCATGCATGTCTTTATGGACCTTGCTTTGTGCACTGGTGCTCAGTCATGTTGGAACAGGAAGGGGCCATCCCCAAACTGTTTACACACAGTTGGGAGCATGAAATTATCCAAACTGTCTTGGTATGCTGAAGAATTAACAGTTCCTTTCACGGGAAATAAGGAGCCAAGCCCAACCCCTGACAAACAACGCCCCCTCCACCAAACTTTACACACTTGGCACAATGCAGTCAGGCAAGAACCGTTCTCCTGGCAACCAACAAACCCAGACTTGTCCATCGGAAACCCATTCCATGCAGCTCCACATGGAATATTTAGTAGTGAGGAAATTTCACGAATGGACTTATTGCACAGGTGGCAACCTATCATGGTACCACACTTGAATTAGGAGCATGACTACAACAAAAGGTTCTGCCATTGATGATAGAATTCAAAAGATTTCAGTGAAGAAAGTCTGATAAATGAAACAAACTGATTAGAAGTGACAACTGTTGTCCTGTGGTCCTGTTAAAGACCTGTAAATTTTATCATTCTGCATTAAGAGGTAGGGGACTTCTTTATTTGTTGAACACAGCATGAAAGTCCATACTGATGCTCCAGGCAATTTTTCTAAAATGAAGATAATAACAGAAAGGCAAAACGCAATGTATTTTTTTTTTGTGGTTTGTGTTTGTCTTTTCCTTTAAATGTTTGTTACGGCATTATGTTGACAATACAAAGCTAATACTTCCTGTATCTGTTTCAAATTAAAAGCCCTCTAGTGTTTCAGTGAAGAACATTACTTCATTTCCGAACAAGGCTTTTATTGTGAAAAATTTGCAGAAACGTGTTGTGGCAAATTCAGTGACTTGCACAGTTCCTGTATAGTACTGTAAATGTACAGGGTTCTTGCACCATTTTAGTCACATTTAATGCTTTTTAAGAAAATTTGGAAACAATTCTTTGATAGAAAATAAATGCTCATTAGATCACTTTTAATGAATGAGGCAATGCCATATTTGGCAGTTTTATTTTCACCACAGGTGAATGCATTTTGAGTGATCAGACTGTGACAAGGTAGCACTTGACCACATGAAAGTACATGTGTAAATGCACCCAAGATGCATTGATGACAGATTGTGGTCCGATCAGCAAAACGACTTCTGGAGGTGGTCAGGGACACCATGACCACATGAACGCAAATGTGTTGTCTATCCACATACAACTACTTGGGGAGAGATATGTTCCGGTCGCAGTCTTCTGCAAATAAAATCCAAAAGTCTGACAACGCAGACAGACGCCTAGACAGTGTGTCCATTCAGTGTTGTGCATAAACGTGCTCAAACAGTGCTGATTACTGATCATACTCATGTTTTTGGTGAAGTGATTGTGTCTGTTTATGAACGTGAAGTAGGCTGGGCAATAAAACAACAATAATTATCGTGATACAATACTCCTCAATAACAAATGTTCAATAAATATTTGATTTCATTCATATGAATCGTGAACGGATTAGCACTTTCTTTTCTATTAAGATATTTATTTTGTTGAGGAAAAGGGACTGAAAAAAGATTTTACTTAATTTTTCTCATGCATATTTGTTGTTTTGAATGTTCTACCTCAGATTTGTGAAGTGATCCACTGTTTGATACCAGGCTGCTGCTGGCATCAAGTGTTTGTCTGTTCTGACCACAAAGAAACGTTTAAAAGCACAATTTGATTATCGCCATTATTTGCGACCCTGCATGCTTTTGTTTGACAACCTGCTTTTATTTGAAAAAGAGAGGCAAGGACAGGACAGGTGTCTGGCAAGGGGAGCAGGAGAGGAGAGAGCAGAGGAAAACAATATTTTTCTCTGATAATTCAAATATTAACTAAATGATTAATAGACAAAATAATGGGCAGATTAATCAATACTGAAAATAATTATTATTTGCAGACCTAAATTCAAGTCAACACTGTTTAGGATTGTTAGCAACTAGCTCGGTAGCCTTTAGCTAAGCACAAAACATTGATATTTTAAGCTCATCACTTGAATGGCTGAGAGACAGCTTGTCCTGTCAGTCTGTAAAACTATGTGGTTAGCTCAGCAGCTTAAGTGCAGCCTGAACGGTGACAACTATTATCTAATAATAATCATTTTGGATCAGACAGATAACTTTAGCTTAAACATTGTCAGACGTCATTTACTTACCAGTAGTTTGACACTGCTATATGTGCCAACATATATGTAGGTGGACACCACTTTTGAACCTCAATAAAATAATATAATAATATCCAATATAATGGTTAGTGAGTATTAAATTAAGTACACCAATAATCCAGCATCTCAGTTAAATGAGTAGGGGTATTCATCAGGGACAATTGTGTCGTCTGGTGGAGCCCAGTAAACTCAATTTTCATGAATTAAATATTGCCACCTAGTATTCATTGGCCTAATGTTGAAGTAACCATCAGACTTTCACCAGCATCAACATGCATCATCTTTTACCATCTACCTGACTTGCCAGCCCCAATCCAATCATATGCAATCAATGTTACTCTAAGGTCATTACCCTGGGCAGCCAGTCACTTTCCTTTCTTGAAAGGACAGATGTTTTTTAAGGCTACAATAATACCTCAAGCTCCCGGCAAAACCCTCATCATCTCTTGCTCCCGGGCCATCAGCCAAAACAACAGCTAAACCACAGCAACAGTCCAATCAATACACAAGTCTCCTCCTGTCTGTGGTACAAACAGAGATGCTGAGTGGAAATGGAACTGGTCTCCCTGTTAAATGACCAGCTGTTTGCAGTAGTGCTATCATCCTTC